CTGTTAACTTCACATCAACTATCTATTTATCTATAAGTCTATCTCTATCTATCTATCTATCTATCTATCTATCTATCTATCTATCTAATCTATCTATCTCAGAGCAGACAATAAACCCCACCAATTACAGAAGTTTTCCCACCTGTTAAGCACCACTTTTCCCTTTGGTGCAGTTATGGCCACAACCGGCTGGGGACGCTGCTGACTGCGGTAAAACCATCCCCAGAGCACACCCTCACAGCCGGGAGTTCCTTCCCAATATCCCATCCAGCCCTGCCCTCTGGCAGTGGGAGCCATTCCCTGTGCCTTGTCCCACCATCCCTTGGCTGAAGTCACCCTGCACTCTGATACAGAGTTGGGCAGATAAAGGTGTTTGAAATGGGGCCTTTGGTCTGTGGGAGGGGATGTGGAGGGTTTGGGGGGCAATGGAGAAATGTGAACCTGCAGCAGCTGTGGAGGTGTTGGATGTTCTGTACAGGCTGGAAAGATTTGTCCTTGTGTCCTTTTTTTGGGTGTGTGGTTTATCCTGGTGAAGTTTTTCGGGTTTTTTTATGATAGGGAAACCTATCATCAGTAACTACACATATTTCTATTTGTCAACATAGAGCCTGAAGAGAATCAAATGCTAAAATGTGACTTTTACTTATGCAAAGGAAATAAAAATGTGTGGTTGATAGAGGGGCAGAGCACAGTGATCCCTCCCTTTCCTTCCTGCAGTTTGCATAACCCTTGAGGGTCAAAAAGGACCTTGGAACTGGACATGGCTGTGGACGAGGACACGGAAAACCAAACCACTCTTGCTTTGCCTTTGCTTTGCCAGCAGAGCTCAGTGCTCCTCCTGCTGCTGCAGGGTTGGGGGCACAGGGGCTGCTTCCTCTTACTGCTCTCAGGTCATTCTCTTCTCACCCATCAGCTCAGCTCAAAATCTTTGTTGAGCTCAGATGCAGAGGCCGCATCTCTGGTGGCTTCAGCTCGCTCTGTGATAAGGCAGGGTTTGGGTACTGCAGGTGCTGCCCTAAATTGTGGCTTTGGCAGTTTGCAGGATCATCGCCAGCTTGGAGCTCCTGCAGGGCTCGGCTAAGGGCAGTGTCTGGAACGGCAAGGAGAGCTCTGACAGAATTAATGGGGTGTGTTTGTTTGTGACAAAAGGAACAGGGAGGGCAAAGATAAAAAGGAATGTGGACTAAAAGCTTCATAGCACTCAGACTTAATAGTGCTTAAGTTATACCTTAAACATAATAATTTAACAAAGGAACAACTCTTGACGAATAGGTCACTTAACTCACAGCTTAACCCTAACAATGAACAGAGGAATGACACTTAACAGCTCTTAACTGAACTTAGGAAATCAAAGTCGAGCTGAGCAACTTCGCAGAGAACCACACTTGGCAGCATTCCACTTAGCTTAGAACTCCTGACTTAACCTCGCTCACAGGAGAGGTTAAACCTTACTCAGCCCCTCAGGGAGCAGCATTTGTGCCGGCCTTGCCAGAGCACCGGCACTCTGTGCGCACACAGCCAGTCAGCGCGATGTACCTGGGAGGAACTCCCCCGAGGGCAGGGACATGCTCACTTTTCCTGCAGGGCTCGGCTAAGGGCAGTGTCTGGAACGGCAAGGAGAGCTCTGACAGAATTAATGGGGTGTGTTTGTTTGTGACAAAAGGAACAGGGAGGGCAAAGATAAAAAGGAATGTGGACTAAAAGCTTCATAGCACTCAGACTTAATAGTGCTTAAGTTATACCTTAAACATAATAATTTAACAAAGGAACAACTCTTGACGAATAGGTCACTTAACTCACAGCTTAACCCTAACAATGAACAGAGGAATGACACTTAACAGCTCTTAACTGAACTTAGGAAATCAAAGTCGAGCTGAGCAACTTCGCAGAGAACCACACTTGGCAGCATTCCACTTAGCTTAGAACTCCTGACTTAACCTCGCTCACAGGAGAGGTTAAACCTTACTCAGCCCCTCAGGGAGCAGCATTTGTGCCGGCCTTGCCAGAGCACCGGCACTCTGTGCGCACACAGCCAGTCAGCGCGATGTACCTGGGAGGAACTCCCCCGAGGGCAGGGACATGCTCACTTTGGATGCTTTGGCATCTCCCCAGCGGGTCAGCCTTCGAGGAGTGCGAGGATCAGCCCAGGACTTGTCATTTTTTGGGGCTCCCCCGAGAGAAGCAAACGGGAGAGTTCCCGGCTGGGAGAGGCCCCACTCAGAGGGAGGTGGTGGCCCAGGAGAGCTCCAAGGGGCTCCTTTTGGAGCGCTGCTTGTAGGGCCCCAAGAGAGGGGCTGCAGTCCCAGCAATGGTTCATCCTGGCCGCACTTCCACTGAAAGCGTGACAACGGGGATGTTGTGCTGCTTGGGCGAGAACATCTGTTCCCAGGGCTGCTCCTAAAGAAACCAGGAGCAGGGCCTGGGAGCAGTGCTTGGGATCAGCTCCTGAGGAGCTGAGCCAGGGGCTGCCCATGGAGGCCGAGGCTGAAGGAGCATTTCTGAGATCATGGTGCAGCCAGGAAAAGGGGATGCACCCCCACAGTCCACCCTGGGACTACAGCCAGCTTCTGCTCCTCAGCGTGGCTGTGCGGTCAGCTCTGGCCTCTGTGCCTGTAAAGGGAGATCTGATTATGCTCCACTTATAAAGTGAGGGAGATTTTTGGTCAGGTTATATTTCTGTGGCTTCTTTGAATGTGATGGAACAATGTTATATGTGAGGGGAGGTTTGCTGATAGCCACGCTCCAACAATAAGGACAACATTTAACAAGGAGCAGAATAAGACAAAAATCAGCAAAATTAAAAGAGGGTGCAGTATCAGGTCTGGAATTCCTCTTGTGGTTAGAGACCACCTGAACAAAATGTCCTACCACTGGTGTTCTCCATCTCCTCTCACTCCAAGACATGGTGTGTTTCTCCTGTTTCCTGATGAGCAGTGATTAGAGCTGTGTCCATCACTTCAGACACGTTCCAGTAGTTGACATGGCTCATGCTGTAGGAATTTTTTCAGCAGTGCCTGGTTTATGCCAATAGGAGCAAGCAGGAAACCTTGATGGGATGTGCATGTAGATTGCAGTAATTCAGGGGTTGTGACAGGAGTGGAATGGCTGAGGTTGCATCCCCTATTTGTTACAAACACAGCTGTTTGAGTGATTGTTTATTCTCTAGTGGTGTAGTCTGTGAGTATGGGATCACAAAGACTCCTCATACAAACACAGTCCTTTCCAGCACATATAAGCACAGTTTCAGGAATTTCATCAGATGGATTTCAAAATTATCAGCGTTCTGCTCAGTGTCCAGGCAAATGTTTTGAGCCTTGACAGTGTTACTTTCACCAGTAAATCTCAGTTATTCTTACACAATGTGGCACCAACAGCTTGCCACTTATCCCGGATTACCCTTGGGATTTCAGGGGCAGTGCACCTTCGTAGCTCTCCCTGAGGACTGCTGCTGCAGCGAGGTGTACAGCTGAGAGCCAGAGGTGCTGGCTTGGGAGCATTCCCTAGCACTCATTCCCTAGCCATGCTCACAGGGCAGCTTCTTGAGACACCTGCCCTGCTCCTCCAAGGAGGTCTGCTGGAAACTGAGGGAGTGAATTCAGAGGTGGGAGGTAGTGCTTCACATTTTGCAGTGAACTTTCCCTCTGCCAAATCCTCGTTATTAGCTGGAATTCCTAGATTTGTACAATTATTGCTGCCTTCATTAGCAAAGGCCCTTGAAATGCATTCAGGCTCCAGTGTGGGCACAGCTGTTAGCAGAGTGGCCACCATAGACAGGACAAGGCAGGGTGTCCCTCCTGGGGGTCAGGCTTGGTGATGCTCGTGCCCAGTCTGGATTTCTTCTGTGAGGAGAAGAACTTCATCTTCAGTGGAGATGTGTGGGCATCGTTCCCAGCATTAGTTTCTGAAAAGGAAAAATAAATCTGGTCTACAGGAAGGATTGCCTGGATGGGTTAGCCCATTGGAAGGAAGGACAAATCCACCAGGCACTGTTTTTTTGTTTTGTCCCACCCGTGTCAGTAGCTTCCCCAGCAAGTGGAGCACAAGGCTGATGAGCTTCTACCTGCTGGACTGGCAGGCCCAGATGCCATCTGGATTTTATTCAGTTTTTGACCCCTGCTTTTGGGAAGGAAAAGAGTTACTGGTCCTCCCTGGAGCCTGTTGTTGTTGATGATGAGTGTTTGGATAATTTTCTCCCTGATTGTTGTTGGCTCGTTTGAGGGCTGCATCAATTAGGCTCTGAAGAGCACTAATAGGCTGACGCTGGTGCCTGGCATGTGTGTTTGGGATGGCCAGGGAGAACACCCCAGGCCACCTCAGCAGGATTGATGGGAGTGTGCATTAGTGGTGTCCTGCTGGGGATTCCCTCAGGGTTGAAGGCTGCAGCCCCACCTCTGACTAATTGTGCGCTGAAGGTGGCATCTCCGCTGGCTTCACCTGGCTCCGTGATAAGGCCGGGCTTGGCTACGGCACGTGCCCACCTAATTGGTGGCTTCCGCGTGTTTACAGGAGCTGTGATGGGAGCACGCTCCGCTGCGGGCTGGCCCCGGGCAGTGCCTGGAATGGCAGGAAGAGCCCATTCCCAGATTTAATGGCTCTCCTCCGTTTCACCACCCAGCCGGCCACCCTGCCGGTTACCGAGCGCGAATCACTCGAGGGTAGGGAAGATAAAATAGCACCAGGACCCCAGAACACGCTGACCCCTTGCCCGTTCAGCACTGTCACCCTGTGGACATTCCCGTGCTGCCGCGTTATTCCCGGTTCCTCCCGGGAAAGGCGCCCCTGGATCCCGGGAAGGCTCCCGGGGAGCGGCCCCTCAGCGCGCAGCGCGCGGGCGCCCCCCAGCGGGCGGGCCCCGCCCCGCCGGCAGCCAATGAGAGGGCGCGAGGGCCCCGCCCCGCCGGCGTCGCAGCCAATGAGAAGGCGCGAAAGCCGCGCCCCACCGAGCTCGCGAGGTCGTTAAATGCCGCCGCGCTGAGGGCTGCTCCCTCAGAGCCGCCACCATGTGCTGTAGGAAGTGCTGTGGTTACCTGCCGCCTTTCTCTCACTTCGCCACCAATGCCATCCACTTCGGGCAGGAGCCCGAGCAGTGGAGCTCTTGGGCCGTAGTGCCGCCCATCACGCTCTCCACCACTTTCAAGCAGGAGGCACCCGGGAAGAACAAGGTAAGTGCGGCCGCCACGGGGCCCCCGAGCCCCGCTGCGGCCCCGGCGTGTCCGGGCCGGGGCAGCGGGAGGCGGCAGGTGCTGGGCACGGAGGGAGCTCCCGGCGCGGATGTTTCCCCCCGCGGCCGCTCCTGGGCAAACGCGAGCATCTCGCTGGGCCGGGAGCGGGGCTCTCGGCCGGGCAGGCGGCGGAGTCTCCTCACGGGGACATGGCAGAGCCCCTGCCCGCGATGCCGTGCCCTGCGCTCCGGGCTGGCCCTGCTGAGCAGCGATGGGGCCGGAGGAGCCGCTGTGGTCCCGTCCAGCCTGACCCAGCCTGACTGTGCCGGTTGGGCAGGAGGAATTTGCCTTGTGATTCCTCATTCCACACAGAATCCCAGCTGTGCTGAGGAGGCCCTCAGGAGGAGCCACGCTGCTGTATCCACATCCTGATGACAGGATCCATGCTCTTGCCGGGAGCTCTGCCAGAGCGATCTGCAGGATTCCTGACTATGAGGAAGTTGACATTAAAGAGAAATCCTAAAAGCAGGCAAATCCCAGGGTGCTCAGCAGGTTTTCTTGGTAACAATTGCATCTGTGCATGCATGAGTGATATTTTCCTCATTAAATTCCCCTAGAATTTGCATAAAACCTGTGGCACTAGGAAACATGTGGGTTGTCAGGAACTGATGAGAGGAGTTGTCCAGTTCCCTGTGGGTGTGATGGAGATGGACACACGTTTTTCCTGAGAATTCCCTCCAGAGAGGCTGAGGAGTCTCCCTCACTGGAGACACCAGAACTGTCTGGACACCATCCCGTGCCCTGTGCTCTGGGATGGCCCTGCTGAGCAGGGAGTGGGAGCAGGGCACCCTCGTGGTCCGTTCCAGCCTGACCCAGCCTGGCATGCTGAGGGTGGTTGGACGGTGCAGCCTGAGCCCTCTGTCCCACAGTGGCCACAGAAGGAATGTCTGGGGAGAAGCAGGAGAATGTGGCTCCTTGCCCAGTGCACCCCAGGCCCCTTTCTCCAGCAGGGATGCCCAGCTGGATGTTGTGCCAGGACACCCTCCTGCTGCTCTGGGAGGAGCTGGATGCCCTCAGCCAGGGCTCTTTAAGGAACCTAGAACTGCTGTTATTCCAAACTTTCCCAGTGCTCTCTCTGATGTTTGTTTCCTTTTCCCACCCCAGGGTTATGATTACATCCGCTCTGGGAACCCCACTCGGGACTGCCTGGAAAAGGCTGTGGCCGCCCTCGATGGAGCCAAATACAGTGAGCATCTCATGGGTTGGACAGGGCTTGGAGCAGCCTGGGACAGGGGGAGGTGTCCCTGCCCGTGGCAGGGGCTGGCACTGGGTGGGCTTTGGGGTCCCTCCATCCCAAACCCTTCCGTGGTTCTGTCACCACGGCTCTGGCTGTTGGCTGTGGGCAGGAGCAGCTCCAAGGTGGGGAAGAGCCCAACACTTGTGGTTCAGGAATGTCCAGCTCCATCCCTGGGTTTGTCTCCTGCTTCCTCATGTGGCTGATGCCTGGGCTGAGCTGGATCCATCCTTGTGCAGCAGCACTGGAGGCAGTGGGAGCAGGCAGCCCCTGTCCCCAGTCTGTCCCCAGTCTGTCCCAGTGTCCGTGCTGGTTCCATGCTGTGCACATCCATCTCCTGCTCTCACTGGCTCCACGCTCCCAGTGAGGCAGTGACAGGACAGGTTCTTTTCAGAGGCCAAGGGAGGAAGGCCGAGGCAAGTCTGACTTGTTGTGTCACATCAAGCACTGATGATCCTTTCTCCTCAGGCTTGGCTTATTCCTCTGGCATGGCAGCAATTCTGAACATCTGTCACCTGCTGAAGCCGGGGGACAGAATTATCTGCACTGATGATGTCTATGCAGGTGAGTACAGCACCCTGTGGCTTCAGTCTTCTTTTTGCAGGGGATCAAACCTGTGTGTGGCTCTCAGGAGCTCTGAATTTCCCATGTAGGCCCTCTCTGCTCTTTGAAGGCTGTTGTTATCAATCCCAGGCTCTTTTCAGAGGCCAAGGGAGGAAGGCCAAGGCAAGTCTGACTTGTTGTGTCACATCAAACACTGATGATCCTTTCTCCTCAGGCTTGGCTTATTCCTCTGGCTTAGCAGCTCTTCTGAACATCTGTCACCTGCTGAAGCCGGAGGACACGGTTATCTGCATGGATGATGTCTATGGGGAAAGGCTTTGGGAAGGCTCTGTCCTGGCTGGGTGATCCCTGCTCCATGGAAGAGAACTCTGCTGGGAAAGGCTTTGGAAGGCTCTGTCCTGGCTGGTGATCCCTGCTCCAGCTGGGATGCCCTGGGATGGCACAAGCCCAGCTGGAGGAAACCTCCCTGAGCTTGGCGGAAGCAGCTGGAGCCTCCCCTGGCTCTGGCAGGGCCACTGCCCGTCCCCAGCGCACCAAGCCCGGGGAGCTGCCAGCACTGAGCACCCAGAGCCCCTGGGACTCAGCCCAGCCCTGGGAACTCTCTGACCTGGAGTGTTTTTGGGTTTGTGCAGCTGGTTTGGCTCGAGAGCCCCACGAACCCCACGCTGAAGGTGATCGACATCAGAGCCTGCGCTGAGGTGGCACACAAACATGGATGCAAGGATGTGATGGTGGCCGTGGACAACAGCTTCATGTCTCCATATTTCCAGGTGTGTGGGAAAAGGACAGGACTGTCACCTGTCCCAGTGGGGCTGGAGGTCCCTTTTGGGAAGGGAAGCACCAGCAAAGAACTGCAGTTTTGGGCTCTGCATTGTAAAATGTCCTGCTCTGGTCCAGCCCCAGCCCTGGTGCTGCTGCCTGTGCAGCAGTGAAGGGAGCAGGGGGAATCTGTCCTCCAGGAATGATGGAATTCTGCTCTTCCTGGTAGGAATCAGAACAGTTGCAAAGTGTTCCCTCACTTTGGCCTTTTTACAGCAATTCTTCTGTAGATGCTGTTCTGAGCCACAAAAGTAAAAAAACAGAAGGTAGTGGAAGAAAAACTAAAATCAAGCAAACTTTGTCCAGTCTTGGAGACATCCACTTTACCTTTTTCTTCAATTCATTGTGTTTATCCTGTGTGAGCTCAGAGCCCTTTGGAATGGCTGGGAATGAGCCTGAGTGCAGCCCAACTTGAATTATGATGTTCTTTTCCTTTCCTTTCAGCGTCCCTTGGCCCTGGGTGCTGATATTTGTATGTGTTCTGCAACCAAGTACATCAATGGTGAGTGTGAGAGTTGAGCACATCCTTAGGGCAGGGATGGAGGGAGACTGGGAGGGAATTCCTGGCTGGGAGGGTGGGGAGGCCCCTGGATCCCTGGGCCAGGCTGGACACTGGGGCTGGGAGCAGCCTGGGATGGTGGGAGGTGTCCCAGGGATTTTATTTACATTTTGGGGGTTTGTGGCAGGACCCTGGAGTGGCTGATCCCGTTCTTGTCCCCTGTCATTTTAGGGCACTGTGATGTCCTCATGGGCCTGGTCTCTGTAAACAAGGAAGATCTCTATGAGAGGCTGAAATTCCTGCAGAACTGTAAGTCCAGACAGGGAATTCCTGACAGGAATCCTGTTCACATCCACAGCTCCTGCTGGGGAGGGTGGGCATGCACACAAGTGGGAAATCTGCCTGGAATGTAATTAACAGAGCTGGGCAAGCTCAGTGAAATAGTCCCATAAAATGAGAGGTGTTGATGTCCCCTTCCCAAGCAGCTCAGGAGAGCACTGGGCCCATCCTGGCACCACTGAGGTGCCACCTGCACTTGGGGGTTTGAAACTCCCTCACCCACCAGGATGGGCCCAGTGCAGAGTGTTCTTACCTCTGATGATTCCAGCCATTTCCTGGCCTCTTCATTGTCAGGAATAAATTCCTGTCTGGGGTTGTGCCCTCTGCAGTGAGGATGCACTGTGCCAAATGGATGTAATCCTTGAGGCCTGAGCCTGTTAATTGGGCTCATTAATTGGCTCCCCAGTGTGGGAGATGAGGAACAGAGATTGCCTCGAGTGTCTTCCCACTTGTTCCAAGCTCAGAAATGCTGGAGGTGAGGATGTGCTTGGCTTTGCTGAATGCAGAACACCAATGTTGCTGTGGAATTCTGTGGAATTCTGTGGAATTCTGTTCCCATTCCCACAGCCCTTGGAGCTGTCCCTTCCCCCTTTGACTGCTTCCTCTGCAACCGGGGGCTCAAGACTCTGCACATCCGGATGAAGCTGCACTTCCACAACGGCCTGGCTGTGGCCAAGTTCCTGGAGTCCCATCCCAGGGTGGAGAAGGTCATTTACCCAGGTGGGTGGCAGGGGTCTGGGAGCATCCCAGGGCAGGGGTTTGGGAGCATCCCAGGGCAGGGGTTTGGGAGCTGTGGTGCCCCGTGACTGGGGCTGGGTGCCCAGCTCAGGTGAGGCTGAGCTGCCCCAGCTCTGCACTGGAATTCACTGGGAATTCTCCCAACTCTCTCCATTCCAGGGCTGTGTTCCCACCCTCAGTATGAGGTGATGAAGAAGCAGTGCACGGGCGTTTCTGGGATCATCAGCTTCTACATCGAAGGGAATAAAGATAATGCCATTGCCTTTCTCAAGAACCTGAAGGTAAAGACAACAAAATCATCCTCAGAGGGAGCTGACCTCCATTCCAGGGCTGCCTTCCCACCCTCAGTATGAGGTGATGAAGAAGCAGTGCACAGGCTGTCCTGGGATGGTCAGCTTCCACATCAAAGGGAATATCAAAAATGCCTCTGCCTTTCTCAGGAACTTGAAGGTAAAACAAAGGCAATAAAATCATCCTGGGAGCTGAATCTGCCCTGCTGAGGGGAGGGTGGAGTGGCTTTTCTTGCCAAGTCCTTTGGGTGTGCCCCTCTGTAAATCAGGGATAATTTGTCCTTGGGGGTTAATGAGAGGGAACAAAGGGACTCCTCAGCCCCTTGGGAGTGTTTGTTTGTCTGTTTGTCTGTTTGCTGCCAGGGTGAGTCCAGCTCACCCAGGAGCTGCTGCTGGCAAAGGGCTTTGTGCAGGGCTGGGCAGCTGGGGCTGGAGCAGCTCTGCTGGAATATTGCAAAGTGCCCTCAGCAGAGAAAGGCACGGAGGGAGGCCCTGCCTCGTGGGGCACAGAGGGAGCCCCTGGCTCTGGGAATGCTTGGCTGGGGCCAACCAAGGACCCATCCAACCAAGGACACTCCCTGGGATCCAGGGACAGGATGAGCCTGTTTTCAATCTTCGCTCTTACCTGCCAGATGTGCACTTTATTCCCTAATTACAGCTAATGCAGTTTATAATATGAAAGTTATTATAGAAAAGCCAGGGGATAAAAAGTCCCTAAACTTTCCATTTTCCTCTATGTCCTTGAAGAGGCCCCTGGCTCTGGGAATGCTTGGCTGGGTCCTTGGCCCAGCCTGTGCTGGTGTTTGGCCAGGTGTTCACTCTCCTGTGCCCGGGGGGTGTTTGTGTCCTGAGCCCACTCCTGTAACGACTCCTTTCCCTTTCCCCCACAGGTGTTCACCTTGGCTGAGAGTCTGGGCGGCTTCGAGAGCCTGGCAGAGCACCCGTGAGTTCATCCTCCCATCCTCAGAGCCTCTAAAAGCTGCAGAGCACCACAAAATTCCCACAGCTTCCCAGCCCCCAGAGCTGATGCTTGGCTGGGGCCAACCAAGGACCCATCCAACCAAGGACACTCCCTGGGATCCAGGGACAGGATGAGCCTGTTTTCAATCTTCGCTCTTACCTGCCAGATGTGCACTTTATTCCCTAATTACAGCTAATGCAGTTTATAATATGAAAGTTATTATAGAAAAGCCAGGGGATAAAAAGTCCCTAAACTTTCCATTTTCCTCTATGTCCTTGAAGAGGTCCCAGCCCCGAGGCTGCCGGAGCTCCAGAAGGGTTTGGACAGCTCTGCCAGGGATGCCCAGGGTGGGATTGTTGGGGTGTCTGTGCAGGGTCTGGGTATGGATCAGTGATCCCTGTGGGTGCTTCCAACTCAGGATATTCCCTGATTCTGTGAGCTCTCTGTCCATGAATCCATAACCTCCTTCCCTTTCTCCCACAGGTGTTCACCCTGGCTTACAGTGTGGGCGGCTTCGAGAGCCTGGCAGAGCACCCGTGAGTTCATCCTCCCATCCTCAGAGCCTCTAAAAGCTGCAGAGCACCACAAAATTCCCACAGCTTCCCAGCCCCCAGAGCTGGTTTGCTGTTTTGCCTTTAGCTAAACTCAGGGACTGTTGTGAGGCACAAAGCCAGGGGTGACTCCAGAGGGAGGGAATCCTGTGAGAGGGCAGAGATAGAGGAATTCTGCCTGGAGGGCTGAGGCACAGTTGGTGTCCATGATCCCAGAAGCTGCAGAGTGTTGGGATGAGGAGCAGTTGGATGGAGAAATGCCCTGCTCCCTGCTCACACCAGGGGCACGGGCACTGTGTGCACCCAGCTGCCTCTGGTCCCTGGCAGGGCTCCTGGGCCTTTTCAACTGCTCCAAACAGCATCTTCATGGAATTGCATTATTGCACTCAGAGCCAGCTTGCTTTTTGGAAAGGTCCATGGAATTAATGACTGTATTTAAATGGTAAATCATCTCACTTACTGATTTCACAGCAAATGCTGAACCCCTCCAGCAGCTGAAAGGAACTGGTGCCAGGGACTGAGCACATGGGGAAATGCCTTCTTGCCTGTGTCCTGTGTAGCTGGATAAACCCTGCAGGGTCCTTTGGGACAGTTTGGGAAGGGATCTGAGCAACCAGAAAGGAAACCAGGAGATTTTATTCTGGAGGTTGCACATTCCCCACGTGCAGAGCTCACAGAGCTTCTGTAGAATAAAAGAGCAGCTCTGGAAGGAAGAGGAATAGGATTTTCTCCTTTGTCAGGCCCAGATTTGTAGGTATGCACTTCTTGTTAATCCTTTGTGTCTTGGAAATACGAGGTGGAGATGCAATTCCCTGACTTGTCAGCATTCCCACCATTTCCAGGAGCTGCTGCCAGGAGCTCTTTGCACCTGTGGGGTCACACAAGTGGCACAGAGGAGGTGTCAGATCCTGCTGCATTTCAGGGGTGCTGCCAGGGAACCCCTCAGCTCCACCCCCAGGCTGCTTGTACCAATACAAGTCCCAAATTCTTAGGATAAAGATGTTTTTTGTCCCTGCAGGGCCACCATGACCCACGCCTCAGTGCCTGAGGAGGTAAAGAAATGCCTGGGAATCACAGACACCTTGATCCGCCTGTCGGTGGGGCTGGAGGATGAGGAGGATTTGCTGGCAGACCTGGGCCAGGCCCTGGACAATGCGGTGAGTGGGGGGTTCCCTTCCAAAAATCATCCCCAGCTGGCAGCCTTTCCCAGGGGCTGAGCCCTCAGCTGCTCCCTGAGGGACCCTGGGCTGTGGAGGGAAAGTTTCCCTGTTGGCAGCCCTGCCCAGGCACAGTCCCCATGGATTCAGGAGCAGTTGGGGTGTCCCAGGCACAGTCCCCATGGATTCAGGCAAATCAAATGCTAAAATGTGACTTTAATCTATGCAAAGGAAATAAAAATGTGTGGTTGATAGAGGGGCAGAGCACAGTGATCCCTCCCTTTCCTTCCTGCAGTTTCATAAACACTGAGGGTCAAAAAGGACCTTGGAACTGGACATGGCTGTGGACGAGGACACTGAAAACCAAACCACTCTTGCTTTGCCTTTGCTTTGCCAGCAGAGCTCAGTGCTCCTCCTGCTGCTGCAGGGTTTGGGGCACAGGGGCTGCTTCCTCTTTCTGCTCTCAGGTCATTCTCTTCTCACCCATCAGCTCAGCTCAAAAACTTGGTTGACCTCAGGTTTATTTTAATTAGGTGTCAGATTTGCTTAAAAGCTTTTCCTGCTCTTGAGGTTTTTCCTTCTCTTGATGCAACATTGAAGATGAAGTGAAATCCAACATCTGGCAAATAATAACTTTCTGAAGAGGAATCTTTGTCATTTGAAAAAAATCATGTGCTGTGGGAATGATTGGAATTCTTTTAATTAAAATCTGCTTTTCCTTTCCTTGCTTATATTCCCATGTGCACGTGCTGCTTGTATTCAAAATCAGGGGATGGAGTGACCCTGGAGCTGTTGGGATTTTCCTGTGGGAAGGCAGGAGGGGGATGGAGCTGAGGAGGGGATGGAGCTGAGGGCAGAGGGGGAATGGAGCTGAGCAGGGAATGGAGCTGAGGAGGGGAATGGAGCTGAGCAGGGAATGGAGCTGAGCAGGGAATGGAGCTGAGGCTGGAGCTGAGGCAGGCCAGTTCTCTATTGGCCACAGCCAGAATAACCTTCACTGCACAGAGGGATTAAATCGTGACAAAAGCCAAGTGAAGGTGTTCCCAGCCAGCCCTCCTCATCCCACAGCATCCCAGACTGGGCTGGGTTGGGATGGACCTTAAATCTCACCCAGTGCCACCCCTGCCATGGCAGGGACACCTCCCAATGTCCTGGGCTGCTCCAAGCCTCATCCAGCCTGGCCTTGGGCACTGCCAGGGATCCAGGGGCAGCCACAGCTGCTCTGGGCACCTGTGCCAGGGCCTGCCCATCCTGCCAGGAAGAATTCCTGCCCAGTGTCCCATCCAGCCCTGCCCTGTGTCCCTGTGAAGCCATTGCCCCTTTTCCCTTGTCCCTGCAGAGGGGGGCTCCTGCTTACACCAGGTCAGCTCCTAGAGCCCCTCCATGGGCAGACTCTCAGCTCCAGATGATTTTCCAGGCAGCCCAGCCCCTGCTGTGCCCTGGAGCTGCTGCCTGGTCTCCCTGTGGGGAGCAGCAGGGTCTGCTTTGTGTCACAGGAACGTCTCCCATGGAAGGAAAGCTGCTGTGCTTCCTCAGCCTCGTGCTGCCCTGCATTTCCTTATCCCATTTACCTGGGGGAAGGACAGATACCTCTGCCAGCAGGGATATTCTCAGTGACTTGCTCCATGATTTTCTTGAGCCCTGGGATATCAGCCTGATGCTGGCTCTGAGCTGGGACCTGCCAGGACCTGGTCTCTTTTCAGGGAGCTTGTGGGAGAGTGCAGTGGCCTCCTCATCCACTGCTTGTCCAGAGTTTATCCCACGTTGCCAGCCCTGCCAGAGCTCCGGGACTGCTTGGACACTGCTCAGGCACAGGGTGGCAGCATTGGGGTGTCTGTGCAGGGCCAGGCCTCGGGCTGGAGGATCCCTGTGGGATCCAGCTCGGGATATTCCGTGATTCCATCCCTCTGAGCAGGAGAGAATCCTCGGGGATGTTTCAGTGTCTCCTGCTGCATGGCTTCCCTGGAGCCACCCTGTGCCCCTGCTCTGGGCTGATCCCAGGTCTGGGTTGTATTTCCCATATCCCATCTTTCTGAAACCCACAGGATGTGTTTTTCCTTGCATTTGATGTTTTAGATTGGGTTCAGATTCATTGCACTTCCAGGGCAATTCCGTTTCCATGCTGAGCCCCAAATCCCTCGTGTTGGCTGAGGATACCTTTATCCTTGGGAAACAAAGGACCAGCATTAAGCCTTGTATCCAGCCCAGCTAAGCCCCAGGCTGGACCTGGCTCCCAGCCCCAGCATTCTGAGTGCTAGGGTCAGCCTGCTCCCTCCCAGCCTCACATTCCCTGGATTTGAGCATTCTCTGGCATTTCTCACTGTGTTTGATGAAGGGTTTGTGTTCTCCAGCCAAGACCGAGCCACATTAGTCAGAAGAGTTCTAAGAAACTCCAGCTTTCATTTACAGGAAAGTTCTGTCACTGCACTCCTCTGTGTCAGCAGGAGAGGAGCTGGGCATCCAGGAATGCTGAGCTCACAATTCCCAGTGCAGGGCCACTCTGGGGGCTTTGGCACTCTGTGTTGGGGTGCTGCTGCTGCTGCAGGGCTGGGAGTCACAGCTCCCATCCTACACGGTTATGGATTGAGTGGACTCCAAGGCACAAACTCCAGATGCCCTTCAATCCCAGGGCCGAGCAGGGCTGGGAGTCACAGCTCCATCCCACATGGTTATGGATTGAGTGGACTCCAAGGCACAAACTCCAGATGCCCTTTAATCCCAGCACAGCTTCCCAACATCCCCATGAATCACTGGAATGAGCCTGAGCCCCAGGAGTGCTCTGTAATTATTTTATCTGCTGCAGCGTGCAGTAGCTGACTGACAAATGCAATTTTTATTCCTCCCTTTTATCATCTCCCTTTTATCATCTAATCAGTAGGAAAATATTGATTCTCTCCTGTCTTTCTAAAGGATGTTGGGAAATGGAGTTGGAGCCATGGCTCCCACCCTGGCAGCCCGACAGAATCATGGAATATCCAGAGTTGCAGGGACCCACAGGGATCATCCAGTCAGGCTGCTGGCCCTGCACAGACACCTCAGCAATCCCACCCTGTGTCCCACAGTGTTCCACCAGCTGGCTCCTGGAATGCTGGGGCAGGGCAGGAATCAAAAGGTGTTTCCCCCCACGTTTTCAGCCATCATTTCTAACTCTTTAAACACGACTGAAAATCCATTTTTCTTCTCTTGAAAACCCCATTTTTCACACACATCCCACCCTGATGGATCTTTATCCAGGGCAGCTGCAGGATTTGGGAAGGAAAGTTTACCCCTTAGGGTGGGTTTTTTTCCAGTATTTCCCTGTCTGCCTGCATTTCCAAGCTGCCAGTTTGGTTCTCACCAGGACACCATTACTGACATTGTTACTGCTGACTTTTAATGCCTCGCGTGTTTCACAAGAGCAATGGGAGATCTGTGAGGAACGGAGCAAATTCCATTTCAGTTGGGAGTATTTCCCAAGGGAGTGTGTCACAAAGGCTCTCAGAATGAAGGAATTATATTTAGATGAGGTTAATCATTTATAATCATTTATCTCTTCTCCTCTTCCAGCCTTCCATGAGGACAGATGAACGTAAAAGGAATTCTCTCACTTGGACAGGCAGGGAAGAGCAGAAACAGAGCCATTCCAGCCATAAGCCGTGTGCTCTGTTCCCAGGCTCCATGTCAAACCCATGGCCTGCTTCTGGGGAGGGATTTCATCCAAGCAGCCAGCTCTCAACTCCCTTCTGCAGCATCTTGGATCAGGAAATGGGAAGTTTGGATTCAAAGCTTCTGGGCGCCGCCGTTCGCGACTGCACAACAAACGCTTGTCTGAAGAGGGACGTGCCCCAGGAGGTCACGTGGAGCTGCTCCTGCTTGTTTCCAGATACTTGGCTCATTGACCTTGAGTTTCTGTGCTTGCTTTTGGGATGTGCTGTGCTCTCCTTGGGTTCAGGGTTTGTTTCCCTCAGGGGCTGGGCTCTGTGCTCCCTGTGCTGGGGGAGAGCTCCCCTTGTCCTTCCCCCCTTTCCTGAGGTGACAGGAATAACAAGGGACCTTAAATCTCACCCAGTGCCACCCCTGCCATGGGCAGGGACACCTGTCACTGTCCCAGGCTGCACCAAGCCTCATCCATCCTGGCCTGGGACACTGCCAGGGATCCAGGGGCAGCCACAGCTCCCCCAGTCTCTGCTCCCTGCCTTTCTCCCAGAAATGTCTGAACTTGGAGAACTGTGCTGGTCTTCTACTTTTCCAGATTTTCGTCCATGCTGTTCCCTTTTCCAAAGGTTTGTTTTGGACTCACTTTGGTTCCTAACACCAAATCTCACCTGAGGCACAGGCAGCAATTCCCAGGAGCTTCAGCTGGAGCCGAGCCTTTGCCAGCAACCACAGCTCTGCATTCCCAGAACTGCTGCCTGCATCCAGCATGGATTCCCTTCCCAGGAGCACCAGGCACTCTCTGGCAGGAGTCCAGTGCCACCAGAGCCCCCCTTGCACCTCCAGCCCCTGATGGAGCAAAGCAGAAGATGAAGGACCACGGAGCACTTGTGGGGCTCAGTTCCACCTCAGCACTGCTCAGGAGAAAAGAGGAATCTGGAAAAGGAGTTTTGCTGCCCCAGGCTCTGGGCTGGGCTGGAGAGGAGCTCCAGGATTTCTGGCAGGAAGAGCCATGGTGTGTTTGGGGGTGGGAGGAACATGAGCAGGGGAGGATTGAGCCCAGGCTGGGCACTGCCATCCTGCAGGAACAGCCTGTCCTTGTCCCAGCTTGCCCGGTGGCCTGAAATGTCCAGAGGCATTACAGCTGGCAAAACTCTGATCACTTGTGATCCTAAACCCTGAATTAAGTTCCTTTCTTCTGTTGTGTCTGAAACCCACCCTGCATCTCTCTGTGACTTGCTCCTTTTCCCTTGGAAACTAATTCCTTTCCAGCTTGGCCGTGGGGTTCAGGATAATTAATGGAACCCCTGAGACTCCAAGAAACAAATGCCTGCATTTACAGCAAAGGTTCCATTCAATTTACTCCACATTAAATCCATTCCTCAAAGAAAAATCCAGACAGAGGCACTGGGCTCCAAGGGGATGTGGGGAAGGCCGGAGCTGATCTGCCATTCCCTGATTTCCTGTGGGTGGATGGAGCTGTTTGATCCCTGGTGAGGATGAGCTCTGTTTTCCTGGGAACGAAGGCCCCGGGGA